AAGTAAAATCAGTAAACCATGGTCCTTTTGATATTTTTATTTTTGTTGTTGTTTTACTTAATAAATACAATAAAAAAAGGCTATTTTGGCATGGTTTTTATTAGTTTTTCAAAGTTAATTTGCTTTTCTACAATTAAAGGTTGCAAAACATATTGGGTAATGTTTGGGAGGAAGTTTAAATTTGAGCATTATGGCCATAAGAAACTGACAATTTTAGATAATCCTATATTGAAAACTGTGGATAAATCTTTCTTTTGGATTTCTTGAGATGAATATGTTATTAATGCTAATTGTTAACCAATTGTTCAAAGCATTTGGGGTGCCACATTTCAGAGCATATTTGTTTAATTGCAATTCTTGGGCTTCTGTTTGTTTACTGGTGTTTCTCTATTCATTTCTCTCTGTTTAAGCTTGTCCACGCAGCTTGTTTTCTATCCCTCCCACACCCCCACCAAGTTCGTTGTGACATACTTTGAAATCCAGCATATATTTTTAGCTTCAGAACAGCACCTAGGATATAGTTTCAAGAGAGAAGTACAAGTAGCATTCCAAATGGATCAAATTTGTGTGACCATTAACACCTTATAAATTAATGTATTCTAAAATGGTTTGTAGTGCACAATTTTTACATGAACATCTTCACTGAGTTTCTGTACCTGGTACATTTCACTTTTCACTTATAAGTAAAATCCAGCAAATTGGGTTAATCGGTAAAATCCAGCAAATTGGATTACTTTCAAAAGTAAGTTACAATTGCAACAGTCAAGATCTTTGAAAGGAACATTCAAATGGAAGTCTAGGTAGTCCTTGACTTATGACCAATTGTTTAGCAGCTGTTCAAAGTTATGACAAACCCCCCAAAAGGTACTTACAATTGCATTTAAAATTCTGATGAATGGGCCTCTCCCGCATGGTCATGTGATCACATTTTGGGTGTTTGGCAAGTGATTCACATTTACAGGGATTTGCAGTGTCTTGTGGTCATGTGACTGCAATTTTCGACCGCTGCACCCCACTGCAGGTGGCGGAACCGACCAGGTGGTTCCGCCCCAGGCGCCTGATGGATGATCCTGATAGGTTCCAGAGGGAGCTTGGCCCAGTTCCTGAAACTCTGGCACACGACTCGGCTGAAGATCTTGTGGCTGCCTGGATAGACAGCCGCCGGTGCTCTGGACCGAGTCGTGCCTTTGCGGCCTCTGACCCGACGCTGAACCTGCCCGGCCCCTTGGTTTTCCGAGGAGCTGAGGGAGATGAAGCGCCGGAAAAGACGCCTAGAGAGTGGTTGGAGGGCGAGTCGCTCCGATTCCGACCGAACACTAGTTAGGTCTCATATTAAGACCTATCTAGTGGCGATAAAAGCGGCAAAGCGTAACCACTTTTCCGCTCTTATTGCATCGGCAGATAACCGCCCAGCCGCCTTGTTTAGGGTGACCCGCTCCCTCCTACATCAGGGAGCACGGGAGGACCCCTTGCAAGGGCAGGCTGAGATTTTGCACAGTATCTGCACGATAAAATCGCTCAGCATTCGGGAAGGCTTGGACTCTGACTGGGTAGATCCCGGCGGGGTGACTGAGGCTGGTCTTGAGAATGTTACCTGGGATGAGTTCGACCCTGTGACTCCTGAGGACGTGGACAGGATCCTGGGGAGATTAAACGCACCACATGTTTATTGGACCCGTGCCCCTCCTGGCTGGTACTGGCCACCCGGGAGGTAACACGAGGCTGGCTCCAGAGGATCATAAATGCTTCTCTGAGAGGTTTCTTGCCTCCCGCTTGAAAGAGGCGGTGGTGAGGCCCCTCCTCAAGAAGCCTTCTCTGGACCCGGCCGTTTTTGGCAAACTATCGTCCGTCTCCAACCTTCGCTTTGTTGCGAAGTTGTGGAGAGTGTGGTTGCGCAACAGCTCCCACATTCCTGGATGAAACCGTCTATCTAGATCCGTGCCAGTCCGGCTTCAGGCCTGGGTACAGCACGGGACGGCATTGGTCGCATTGGGGATGATCTCTGGAGGGCTCGGAAAGGGTTGCTCCTCTGTTCTGGTCCTGTTAGACCTCTCAGCGGCTTTTGATACCATCGACCATGGATCATGCTGCGCCGGCTGGAGGGACTGGGGGTGGAGGCACCGCGTTGCGGTGGTTCTCCTCCTATCTCTCTGACCGTCGCAGTCTGTGTTGGCAGGGGGGCAGTGGTCGACCTCGAGGCGCCTTGCTTGCGGGGTGCCGCAAGGGTCGGTCCTCTCACCGCTCCTGTTCAACATTTATGTGAAGCCGCTGGGTGAGATCATCCGTGGTTTTGGGGTGCGATGCCATCTGTACGCTGATGATACTCAGCTGTACATTTCCACCCCAGACCACCCCAATGATGCCCTCGAAGTGATGTCCCAGTGTCTGGAGGCCGTGCGGGTCTGGATGGGGAGGAACAGGCTTCGGCTCAACCCTTCCAAGACCGAGTGGCTGTGGATGCCGGCGTCCCGGTATAGCCAGCTGGTGCCATCGCTGGCTATTGGGGGCGAGTCACTGACCCTCACAGAGGGGGCTCGCAACTTGGGCGTCCTCCTGGACACACGGCTGTCTTTAGAAGAGCATATGACGGCCGTGGCCAGGGGGCTTTTTATCAGGTTCGCCTGATACGCCAGTTGCGCCCCTTTCTGGATCGGGACTCCTTGTGCACAGTCACTCATGCCTTGGTTACGTCATGCCTGGACTACTGTAACGCTCTCTACATGGGGCTCCCCCTGAGGAGCACCCGGAGGCTCCAGCTGGTGCAGAATGCGGCCGCGCGGGTGATTATGGAGCGACGTGGCGCTCCCACGTAACACCTCTCCTGCGCGAGCTGCATTGGCTCCCGGTGGTCTTCCGGGTGCGCTTTAAGGTGTTGGTTCTCATCTTTAAAGCGCTCCATGGCTTAGGGCCAGGGTATTTGCGAGACCGCCTGCTGCTACCGATAACCTCCCACCGGCCAATACGCTCTCACAGAGAGGGCCTCCTCGGGGTGCCGTCGGTCAGGCAATGTCGGCTGGCGGCCCCCAGGAGGCGAGCCTTCTCTGTGGGGGCACCCACCCTGTGGAATGAGCTGCCTCCTGGAATACGATTGATCCCGGACCTCCGGACCTTCCGTAAAGCCCTGAAGATGTTTTTATTTCATCAAGCCGGCCTAGCCTAAATGGTTTTTTAATTGGGATTTTAAATTTTATGGATTTGGGGTTTTAAATTTGGGTAGCCAATGATTTAATTCTTTTAATTATCTTAACTTTTGCATTTGTATGTTTTTTAATTTTGGCTGTTCACCGCCCTGAGTCCCTTCTGGGAGAAGGGCGGTATACAAATTAAATTAATAAATAAATAAAAATAAAATAAGGTTTCTCGCAGAAGACAGTTAAAACAGGATAAACATACAAAAAAAAAAAACCCACCCCAAAACAAAACAAAACACAATTCTACCTACAGCAAACAACTCAGTTTCTAGTTTTGCCTTCTCATCCTGGACAGAATAACAGAATAACAGAGTTGGAAGGGACCTTGGAGGTCTTCTAGGCCAACCCCCAACTCAGACAGGAAACCCTCTATCATTTTTTTAAAAAAATTTGATTTATATGCCGCCCTTCTCCGGAGACTCAGGGTGGCTTACAATGTGTTAAGCAATAGCCTTCATACCTTTGTATATTTATACAAAGTCAGCTTATTGCCCCCACAAACTGGGTCCTCATTTAATCTACCTTAGAAAGGATGGAAGGCTGAGTCAACCTTGAGCCTGGTGAGATTTGAACTTACAGTAATTGCAGACAGCTGGTGTTAATCACAATGCTTTTAGTCTGCTGAGACAAATGGTTGTCCAATCTCTTCTTGAAAACCTCCAGCGCTGGAGCATCCACAATTTCTGGAGGCAAGTCATTCCATTGATTGATTATTCTGTCAAGAAATTAGATATCCCAAATTCTTCTCATCTTTATCCATTATTGGCTTTCTGATAAGCTGACTGTGGGGACAGGAAACCCATCCAGCAACCCCCGCTTGCCTCTTTGCAAGACCCACCAGCTCCGAGTCCACCCCCCCCTCCCATCTTGCAGCCTATAATCTGGATAGATTTCCTTGGGCATTTTAATCAAACAATCAATGAGAATAGAGCTGGAAGGGACTTTGGAGGTCTTCTAGTCCAACCCCCTGCTCAAGCAGGAGACCCTATACCATTTCAAACAAGTGACTGTCCAGGCTCTTCTTAAAAACCTCCAGTGATGAAGCACCCACAACTTCAGAAGGCAACTTCTGTTCCACTGGTTAGGAAGTTTCTCCTTAATTCCAGGTTGCTTCTCTCCTTGATTAGCTTCCATCCATTGTTTCTTATCTGTTGCTTTGGAAAATAATTTGACCCCCTCTTTGGACATAAACTGTTTCAATTCCTACCCGCAAAACGACGCTGTAGAGCACTGCACACCAGAACAACTAGACACAAGAACAGTTTTTTCCCGAACTCCATCACTCTGCTAAACAAATAATTCCCTCAACACTGTCAAACTATTTACTAAGTCTGCACTACTATTAATCTTCTCATCGTTCCCACCATCCATCTCCTTCCACTTATGACTGTATGGCTGTAACTTTGTTGCTTGTATCCTTACAATTTATATTGACTGTTTCCTAATATGATTTGATTGCTTATTTGTACCCTATGACTATCATTAAGTGTTGTACTTAATGATTCTTGATGAATGTACACTGAGAGTATATGCACCAAGACAAATTCCTTGTGTGTCCAATCACACTTGGCCAATAAAATTCTACTCTATTCTCTATTCTATTCTTTTTTTGTGGCAGCCCCTCAAATATTGAAATCCTGCTTTAGGGAAGAAGCTTTTCCTCCCTTCCTGCCAGGATCTCCTGCAGCTTCTTGGGCTTGGGGGTGGATGGGGGGGAAGGAAGTTTATTATCCAGGGTGCAAAAGGTGTGAAAAAGGGTGGGGGGGGGAAACAAAGCCTGAAAAAAAATTGCTGGACGCAAAACATCCTTCAGTGCTTTTTCATCAGGCTCTGCGGAGGGAAGAGAAGCGAAGGAGGGCAAGAGGAGAAGCGCATGCTCAGTTATCTTCTGAAGCTCGCAGGCTGCCAGTATACTCCCCTCCCCCACCTGCAGAGAGGGAGCTCCCTAGCGGTCCCCACCTGCCACAGCAGCGCATTTTTTGCGAACCTGAGGTAAAAAAAAAAAAAAAAAAGGAGGCGCGTTTTTTGGCGGGAGGAAGAAAAAATGCGCGTTTGCCTCCTTCGCAGAACAATCCGAGCGGAATCAGATCTGAGAGACAGGAGAGGGGAAGGGGAGCAGCGGATGATGGGACATAACAGGAGCGTCTCAGGCACCCGGTCACAGGAGCTGGAGAATTCCCTTTGCTCAGAAAGGAGCAGGAAAGCGCCTCCTTTTCCACTTATCCCAACACAGGACCTGCTTTTGCTCATGAGGAAGGGCCGCTCGGTACCATATTAAAGCGTGTCAGGGTAGTTTGAGACCGACGGACAGGATGAGGTGATGGAGCAACGAGAGGGTTGCGAAGACGGTTCCCTCGCGCGTTTTCCCGCCTTTTAAACTGAGGCAATTTTCCCTCAGCGAAGCCGTCCCTCAGAACTGGCGTTTTTCCGCCCGGCAACAGGTAGGCCATTCTTTATTTTTTATTTTTTTATGTTTCATAAACATTTTGAATAGCGTGTATTGTCAGGGTATATGATTTTTAAAAATGAAAAATAAAGAAAAGATAACAATATTAACACGTGCACTGGTGACAATAGTAATAATGTAACCGATTAGTTTTGGCCAAATTTCTTTTTATATTAGCTCATTTATAATTCTGTTAATATATATTAGCATATTTGTAGTTATAAACCATCTTTATGTTTAATTCAGACAGAGCAATAATTTTTCTTCATATAATTTCTACCTCTTATCTACCTAGTAGGCCATTCTTTATTTTTTTTTGTTTCATAAACATTTTGAATAGAGTGTATTGTCAGGGTATATGATTTCTACAAATGAAAAACAAAGAAAAGATAGCAAATAATATTAACAGGTGCACTGGTGACAATAGTAATAATGTAACCGAATAGTTTTGGCTAAATTTCTTTTTATATTAGCTCATTTATAATTCTGTTAAAATATATTGGCATATTTGTAGTTATACACCATCTTTATGTTTAATTCATACATAGCAATAATCTTTCTTCATCTAATTTCTACCTCGTAGGCCGTTCTTGGCTAGGGAATTCATCCTACTGTATTAAGGCCACTCTAATGGTGAGGTATGGAGGGCAGGGGCTGTGAGTGGGGAGGGAAGGAAGCCATTTGAGTACTCCCCCATGGGGGGGGTTTCCTTCAGAAGACCTCCCACCCTCATTCTGGGTTTGCTTGCCCTCTCCCTATGCAAGGAGCTGGTTCCACAGACATGACCAAGCAGATGCTTTCAAGATAAAATGCATAGGATAGATAGAGGGAGGGAGGGAGGGTGGGAGGGAGGGAGGGAGGAGAAAGAAAGAAGGAAGGAAAGAGAGAGAAAAAGAAGGAAGAAGGAAAGAAGGAGAAAGAGAAGGAAGGAAGGAGAGAGAAAGAAGGAAAGAAAGAAAGAAAGAAAGAAAGAAAGAAAGAAAGAAAGAAAGAAAGGAGTTGTGTAGTCCAACCTTACCCAAGCAGGAGGCCCTACACCATTTCTGACAGATGGCTGTCCAGTCTCTTCTTGAAAGCTTCCAGTGATGAAACTCCCACAACCTCTGAAGGAAACTTCTGTTCCGTTGGTTGATTGCTCTCACTGTCAGAAAATTTATCCTTATTTGTAGGTTGAAGTGTGGCAAAGAAAAGTCATAAAATGGGGCAAACTCACTTAACAAATGTTTCGCTTGGCAACATAAATTTGGGGCTCAGTTGTGGTCATAACTCGAGGACTGTAGTCCTTTTGGAATACAAGTTAGAATGTATTTTGTATTGCAACAACTACAGAATTATTCAGCTAGTAGATGGCATTAGTGTGCATCTATGGTTATAATCCATGGTTTCTTTATGTTCTGAGGAGAGTTTCCTATGACAGTTGAGGCAGTTAAAAACTGTTAAGCAGCAAGGCACATGGTGACTCTTCACTGTACATTTTATATGATCTGTATGGCCATGTAACCATCCTCTGATACCAATCTGCATGGTTATTTAATAATCCTCTGCTATAATTTGTATAGAATAAAACAGAATTTTTATAGAATTTCTATAGAATAAAACAGAGTTTCTACAGAATAGACTAAAATAGAATTTCTAGCAAGTCCATCCTCTCTTAAGCCCTTAAGAGCAGAACGAGATGGATGTCACATTACACGAGATCCCTATGTTCAAGACACGGTGTGTGGGGAGATAGCATATGTCCTGTTTGGTATTTGCAGTTACATTGACCATCAGAAGATGTTATTTAATTTAACAAATTAACAGTTGGAAGGGACCTTATAGGTCATCTAGTCCAATCCCCCACCCAAGCAGGAAACCCTACACCATTTCTGACAAATGGCAGTCCAATCTTTTCTTGAAAGGTCTCAAGTGATGAAGCTCCCACAACTTCTGAATGCAAGCTGTTCCATTGGTTGATTGTTCTCACTGTCAGAAAGTTCCTCCTTATTTCCAGGTTGAATCTCTCCTTGGTCAGTTTCCATCCATTATTCCTTGTCTGGCCTTTGGGTGCTTTGGAAAATAGCTTGACCCTTTCCTCTCTGTGGCAGCCCCTCAAATATTGAAATACTGCTATCATGTCTCCCCTGATCCTTCTCTTCACTAGACTGCCCATGCCCAGTTCCTGCAACTGTTCATCGTATGTTTTAGTCCATGTCTGGAATATCTTCAAGGCGCCCACTTTAAAAATATGTTTGATAGAGATCTATCATGGGTTTTACTTTTGTCATAGATCCCATCAAATAAGGGAGCATCTCAAGTGCCTTTGAAGCATCCAAAGAGTCTGGTCCACAATGATCTTTTAAGATATATCTATGTTAAAGATTGTAAAGACAAAATTCAATTTGAAGTCAGGAGAAATCCATGGGATAGTCATTACTTAATAACTGATAAAAAGTCATAATCACATCTTCCAACCAAACATTGAATATCAAATACTCTTGTCATTCAGACACCAATCAGGTTTTGAGAATTGGGGGAAAAAATCTTGCTCATTGTTTTCCAGAGATAAGGACAACTGAACATATTGTCCTCGTAGAAAGGTTAATGGGAATTAGTCAAGTAGGAGGCAGTTTTTGATATTCAACCAAGCAGAGAGTTTCTTTGAACAAATCATTAAGATAAATATTTTCATTCCTAAATTAAGCCTAATTTAAAGTTTTTTTCCTCTACTTGGAAAGAGAACGGAAATTTGTGTCTCAGAATTTGGTCGACTGAGGAGGCCATCAATCATTTCTTAGGCTCAGAGAGGCAGTGACTTCTCAGCAACAGGGAATGTTTCTGGATTTACTAACTATGTTTCCAGCCTACCTGAACTTCAATGGACACTAGATGGGGAACAACACAGCAAACCAAAAAATGTAAAACACAATATAAACTATATTCATTTTATTAATTTTATTTTCTTTCATTAATCTCATTTAGTTTTATTTAGAAAAAAGTTCAGAGATAATCACGCATGCTTGTGTTTTTGTGTGACTGAATCCTGAAGCTGTAGGGTGGATATTATTGAGCTGTAAATAAACTACAAGGAAAACATTAAGCAAAAGTAAGCATAATTCTTGGGAATGAGAAACCAAAACCAAAAAAAACTTTACAATATGGATGATACATTTTGGGCTCTAATATTGTAAAAAAAAATAATTTGAAAGGGAATTGTTCAGTCTCTATTTTGTTATCACCATCCCAAAAATCTAAAGATGGCAGGTTGAATTTTTCAAAATGGAAAACAAAATAAAATTGTTTTGTCATGAGGAATCCTAAATTATTATCGTAAAATACAAAAAAAAAAAAAAAAAGCAACGCCTATATTCTTACTTTACTTTTAATACAAGCTGCTCCTTTGTGTTGAGATCTGGCCTCAGGATAATAATATAGCACTTGGGGATGAAGATGCAACCCAACAACCCAGCACTGGAGGCCAAGATGGAGAAAACCTGAACAGCCACCATGAATTTCCCCTTGGTGCTCAGGTAGGTGGGCACAAAGGAGATCCAGACGCTGCAGAAGACAAGCATGCTGAATGTGATCAGCTTGGCTTCATTGAAGGTTCCAGGCAGATTCCTGGCCAGGAAAGCCACTGTGAAACTAATGATAGCCAAGAAGCCCATGTAGCCCAGGGCTCCATAAAACATGGTAATAGACCCTTCGTTACATTGCAAGACAATCTCTCCAGACTGGGAGTGGAGGTCTGACTCAGGAAAGGGGGGAGAGACTCCTAACCAGATGGAACAAATGAGAATTTGAATCCCAGAACAAGAAAGGACAAGGGAATTGGCCAGAGACTTCCCCAGCCACCTCCTCATGGTGTTGCCTGGCTTTGTGGCCAAGAAGGCCAACACTACTGTGATTGTCTTGGCTAAGACTGAGGAGACAGCAGTTGAGAAGACAATGCTGAAAAAGGTTTGACGGAGAAGGCAAGTGACTTTCCTTGGCTGGCCAATGTAGAGAAAGGAGGTCAGGAAGGAGAACAATAGGGAGATAAGAAGGATATAAGAGAGGTCACGGTTGTTGGCTTTGACTATTGGAGTTTCTAAGTGTTTAATAAAGATTGCTAACACAAGCACTGTGGCTAAAGACAAGATCAGAGCAGCAGAAACCAGTATATTCCCGAGAAGTCCTCTATAGGATAGGAAAATTATGATCTTGGGGATGCACTGATCTCGTTTCTCATTTGGATGCTGATCCTCTGGACATTTGGTGCACCTTTTTGCATCTGCAAATAAGAGAGATGAAAGAAACATCATTATCCACCCCCAGTAGTCTTTTCTCCTTCTGTCTGCCTTTTCCACCTTTATCATCTTTTCCATGAACGCATCATCTGAGATTGAACAATTCCATCTATTTTTGTTGCTATTGTTGTTTATATTTTCCCAGCAATCAATTTCATTCACATTTGCCTTTACTTGAGAGTCTTACATATTTTAAAATATTCTTTTTCTTGTAACTCTACAGGACTTTTAATATGCCCTTTTCAACTTGTAAACAAGTTGCTAAAACAAAGTCAGCATGGGGAATTTTGAAAGATAAATCCTTTTCCATATAACGGTCCTCTTTTCTCATCAGAAAAACTCTGCAGAGATGATCAAAGGAAAAAAGAGCCTGGCTGAATTGCATAGTCTTTCTCACAGATGACTTCTTACAACTCACTTCATGAAACTCATTCTCAAGGCAAGGAAACCAAAAAAAAGAAAGACCCCAATTGAGAAATTAGAATCTCTGATTGCTCCCACTAGGGGAACTTTAGACCATCAACCTTCCTGAGTGGAAATGGTCCCTTCAGCACAAGGAATACAGTCGTAGCAGCAAGGGGGCTTCCCTTCCCGAGGCACCTTGACAAATCCTGGACGGCAGCTTTCCACGCACTTGGATTCAGGGAGGGACTAAACAAAAATAGAAGGAATATATAGATATAGAATATATAGAATAGAAGGCAATATATAGGAAATAGGAGTTTGTCCTTATTGCTTCTGCTGATAGCCATTTGGTAGCTCTGTCTAAGATGACCTGGTGTTTGTTGAACACAAATGGGTTATAGCACTTTTTGTAGGGCCCCTGAAAAGTCAGTAGCTTCTTAAATGAGAAGTAAAATGTCTTCAAAGAAAAAGTCCAATTGCCTCTTGAAAAAGCACTTTTGGGACATCAAAAGGGATAGTAGTGAGGCATAATCAGTCCTGCAAGATTCTGTAATTAGAGCCAATCTCAAGACCACAGTTCTGCCCTTCCTGTGCAATTGGAAACCACTGAAGAAGAATATGTTGATGAAAATCCTCAGTGATTCAGGTAAAATTGTCTGAAGATTGAGTCATGGCAACTGGACTTCTTTGTTGTTGTTAATTTAAGACATTTTGTTGTTCATTCAAATAGCTTCATCAGTCACAGCAAGTTTATAGGCAGAGAATCATTGGAATGTACTCGCTCCTCCCGCACCCAACACAGAGGTTGAAAGAAAAATAAGTTCAGTTGCTATGACTCAATTATTAGACAAGTTAGAATTAGAATTCTTTATTGGCCAAATATGATTAGACACACAAGGAATTTGTCTCCAGTGCATAAACTCTCAGTGTACATACAACAATAGTGATAGATCATTATCATAGTCATTGTAAAAATGCATTCATCATAAAACATTAGATACAACACTTAGTGATAGTCATGGATACTAAACAAGCAATCAACATAAATCATACTAGGATACTAAGTAAACAGTATAAATTGTAAAATACAAACAAAGTTATAGTCATAAGGAGATAGATAATAGGGAAGATGAGAATAATGGGTAATACTGTCTTTCTAGATAGTTTGATAGTGTTGTGGGAATTAGTTGTTTAGCACAGTGATGGAATGGGGGAAAAACTGTCCTTGTGTCTAGTTGTTCTGATGTGCAGTGCGCTATAACGGCGTTTTGAGGGTAGAAGTTGAAACAGTTTATGTCCAGGATACTTATTTTCACAGCTCTCTTTCTGGCTCACGCTGTATACAGGTCCTCAATGGAAGGTATGTTGGTAGCAATTGTTCTTTCTGCAGTTCTAATTACCGTATTTTTTGCACTATAAGACTCTTTTTCCCCCCCCAAAAAAATGGTCGAAATGTCTGTGCGTCTTACAGAATGAATGTTGCTGAAGCCACACTCACCTGCTGGCCCCTACCCTTCGGCCTCTGCCTCCCAGCAATTTGCTTTCTTGCAGCAAAAAGAAATCAGTCTGGTCAACTTCAGCACAGCCTGATTTAGCATGAGCAGCTGATTGGCGGTTGGATCGGCCTCCCAGAATACCACCAATCAGCTGTTCCAGCCTTCCGCGTGCCCCACTTTCAGCCTCTGCACCTCCCATTTTCAGCCCATTCCAGGCGGCAGGAGATTGCCGCTGCTGCCAATCACAATCCCCGCCACCTGGAACAGAGCAAAAACGGGACAAACAAAGGCAGAAAATGTATAGAGGCGGCGATGGGCGACAGTGGCAATCCCAACAGCCTGGAACAGCTAATCAGAAGGCCAATCCAACCACCAATCAGTTGTTTAGCTGTTGTGCTGAAGCTGACCAGGTTGTTTGCTGTTTGCTACAAAGAGGCAAATTGCTGGGAAGCAGAGGCAGATTTTTTTTTCTTGTTTTCCTCCCCAAAAGCTAGGTGCGTCTTATAGTCTGGAATGTCTTATAGTGCAAAAAATACAATATCCGTTGAAGTCTGTGTTTGTCTTGATTGCAGGGTCAAACCAGACAGTTATAGAGTGCAGATAACAGATTCAGTAATTCCTCTATCAGAGAACATTTCACCAAGGTTGCCATTGGCAGCGCTATCTTGAATTATGTTCAACTTTACCTGGACATTGACACTTTGCAATGTACTTTGAAGAGGAAATCCCTGAGGTTGGTGCAGAAGGAGTTCATACATTCCAATGACTCTCTGCCTAATTAATTTGCTCTGGCTGATGAAGCTGTTTGGAAGAGCAACTAACATCTCAACTAACAAGAAAAATATGAAGGTTGCCATGACTCAACCTTCAGACAACTGGGAAAGAAAGATTTTCTTCACCTGGTTGAGCCATTTAGGGGACAACATTGCATCCTGGTCAATAATAAACATGGCATCTCCTGATTGCTGTTTTGTTAAACTCCCAAATTTTCTCTGGACAACTGACATATTGGGAAACTGGAATGAACTCATGATGTCAAAATCAGCAGCCAGCTCTCCATTTTCATCCAGATATAATCCATCCAAAGAGTTATTGTGAAGCTGGAAAATGTTTTGCAGGAAACGATGAAACTAAAATAATAGAGAGGAGGGAAGGAAAAAAGGACAGGTATTCTGAACACAGTTCTCCACTTCCAGAATTCCACATCTATGATTACCCATAGAATTTATTTCTCTATGTATCATGGGTGCAATTAACCTAATCTGCCTTCTCTAGCTTATTTAAAATTGTCATCTGAAAGTTCAGTTGAACACAGCCCAGATAAATCAGTATTTGTACGACCATCTAGTTTTCATCATGGCATGTTGAACATTGGTGATGAAGGTAGGAGATTTTCATTACCTGAACATCTATTTAGGGGGGAACATGGTCAAACATACTCCATTAGCTTGTTGATTACTTTCTTCTTCAGAAAAAGAAAAGAAACAAGGTTTGTTTAGTTTGAGTTGATTATAATAGAGAAATTAAAAAATAGAGTCACAGAAACTGGGGGAAAGTGACCTTATTTTAGAGTTCTTAATTTTAGGTACTAACAGAGAAAATAATAAACATTTACCTTGGAGTCCAAAACAGCAAATTCAAATAAAGTCCACAGCCCTGGGAAGAAATTCTTATTAAAAAAAATCTTTACATTATAAAGCACCAATCTGCATTAATAAATTGAAAGATCTTTAGAAAATTCATCGAATTCATTTTAAACTTGAATGAATTCAAATTTATATCTTGGATTACAGGGTAAAGGAGTTTAATTTAGAACAAAGCTCCATAAAGCTAAATTACTAAGAAAAAAAGCTTTTCTTAGTAATTTAGAGATGGATGATGTGATCATGTTAAAAAGCATATCATAAAAATATCCTATTAAAAGAAAATCATATATAACTCCAATAAGGCAAAAAATAGAGGAGGACAGAAGAAACTAACTTTCTATATTAAATGTCTATGGAGATTCTCAGTCATCCACGTCCTGGTTGTCCCAAAGGGGTTTTTTCAAGAGGCAACTGGACTTTCTGGTTTTTCTTTGAAGATGTTTCACTTCTCATCCAAGAAGCTTCTTCAGCTCTGACTGGATGGTGGAGAATGGAAGGATTTATACTCCTTGCAGAGAGCTGGTCATTTGCATTCTTTTAGCTAGCCGTTAAAGTCACCTGGAGGTTTATCTGTATCATCAGGGTCACCTGAGTGGTGCAAATGGGGGTGGAGCCTTCTTGGAACTGTTGAATTTGCACCACCCAGGTGACCCTGATGACACAGATAAACCTCCAGGTGACTTTAACGGCTAGCTAAAAGAATGCAAATGACCAGCTCTCTGCAAGGAGTATAAATCCTTCCATTCTCCACCATCCAGTCAGAGCTGAAGAAGCTTCTTGGATGAGAAGCAAAATGTCTTCAAAGAAAAACCAGAAAGTCCATTGCTTTTTGAAAAAAAGCACCTTTGGGATTTCTATATTAAAACTTTAATGGAGATCTGAAAAATAAAAGGAGATGGAAAATAAATAGTAGATGGAATAAGATATATGTTACTATGGATAAAGGGATACAGTTAGCTCTATAGTCAGGAAAACTAAATCGCTGAATAAAATTATGAACATCATAGATAAATCACCAGTTAAAAAATTGCGGGGGGGCGGGGGGGAAGGATGGAAAAAATGGGATTATGTCAAGAGAATACCTGCCATGGCTGCAACTGCTGAACAGTCAATTGATCTTTTTCATCTTTCACTTTCCTCATGGATCTAGATGAATACACAGCATTTAAGGCCCTGGCCACAGTCCAGATAGAGCGATGAATGATGTAGCTGTCGAGAGACAGGATTTCTTCAATCTTCTCTTGGGGCAGAGCTTCTGGGTCCTCTTCCTCTGGGCATCTTGTCCAGCCTTTCAGGGACAAGCCATGCTTAGAATATGAACAATGAAATGCTTTGTTTAAAAAGTTTAGAGTAAAATAATAAATAGATAAAAAATCATCATATTTGGCATTTCTGCCAGTCTGGATCAAAAAGGAAATGTAGCCATAGACGGCTGGAATAATCTCTGAATTATACTGTAACTCCAAGGTAAAATCCCACAAAGCTGTAGTGATCCAGACCTTTCCAATTCTGGATTTTAGGTAGTTTCCAGTTATGCCTTGTGTAATTATTATTCCCATCATGAAAGTATCGAACTCGGCAGAGTAAACAAAGACATTGACTTGTGTCCACTTGGAGAATTGGAAAGCATCAATCTTTACACAATGCATAGTCACAGGGAAGATTTGGGATAAAACAACGCAAATGCCATTCCTGACAAGCAAAGGAGTCAAACTTCTCATGAACCTCTCTCCACCATCCGTGTCTGGTGCCACCAAACCAACCAACGTCCACTTGAAATGCTGGAGCAGTTTAATAATTGTAGGGTACTGAATGCCTTCTTTGGGGACCACTTGGTAGAAAAAAGGGAAGTTGGATTTCTCATTCAGAGCCTGTGAAACAGAAATATAACTGATCTGAAAAAGAAAAGAAGGGTGGGTTATATGTCGTGTCAAATCCAATTCAGGAAATTAGCAATTGAAATCTCTGTTAAAAATCCTGGTCCTTATATGATAGAGGAAGACACTTCAACATTTTGTCAAAGACTATGTTCATATGACAGTTTTTCTGATTGGTATGTTCATAGATTGCACCCATTCCTTGTAGCCTTGAGTATAAGATATTTCTTTTATAAATAAACTCAGATTTAACCCAAGTATTAGAGAGCTGGATGTTTTAAGTATTTGACCTCTGTGTGAATTTAAGCCAGCACCAATTGCGTTAGGCCAACAGTTACAATGATAAAAAGCTGCCCTTTATTTTTATGGAAAAATCAAAGTAGAAATCATGTCCCCCAACACGTGCACACACCTGTGGAATTTTATAAATGCCCAACATATTTGAAATCTGGATGGAGATATCTTGATTGGACCCATCAAAAACTACCAAGGGCCCATTATGGCTTCCACATCTGTAGTTTGGAATATTTGCCACTCCGGTGGAAAGCAAACCCAGCAAAGCATCCAAAGTCATGATTGTGTTGAAATAGCTGTCATGGAGGTTGTAGCCCAGGGAGATGTTGGGTAGGAACTGGAGATCCCGGTTGATCTCCTGGATTGCGAAAGGAAAGGAGAGAATTTTCCAAGTCAACGGGCTTCCCGTCCTGAAAATATATACATTTCAAACCATCATTAATGAAAATAATTCATTTTTATGTAACTTCACAATGGTTTCTGTTTAAATCTAAAATGAGTTAACGGCCAATGTATTAAAAGATGTCTGCATGTAGTAAATGCTCACTGTTACTTTTTAATGTCATTGTCATCATCATTTACCCAATAACCTTTTTGGAATAGCTCTATGGATAGGAAATTTGAAGTTATGTAAAATAGTGAAAACAAGACCAAAAATTTAGATGCATTAGTATGCATTACAAAATGGGGGGGGGGAGGGAGCCTCCAAATTGCACTGTAAAAGCATTCTTTAAAATCAGCAAAGGTATGATGGTTTATCTAAAATTGATGCCTTGAATGCCGTTTTGTCACAGATATTTTTATTAGGATTTCTAATCCCAACAGGATCCCTCTTGGATGTTGTGTTTAAAACAGGGAAGACCCTTCTTCTGTTCAGACCTTGAAATCTCCTTCAATTATCTTAATCAACTAATGAAGGAGAGAAGCAACTTAGAACTAAGGAGAAATTTCCTGGCAGTTAGAACAATTAATCAGTGGAATAACTTGCCTCCAGAGGTTGTGAATGCTCCAACACTGGAAGTTTTTAAGAAGAGATTGGATAACCATTTGTCTGAAATGGTGTAGGGTTTCCTGCCTAAGAAGGGGGTTGGACTAGAAGACCTCCAAGGTCCCTTCCAACTCTGTTATTCTAAGACTTCTATCCTTGTAATTGGCCCAGGAATTCTAAGACCAAATTCATGTAAACCCCATTGGTGTTATCTACACATTGTTTGAGCAGGAGGTTTAATATTTAAGTTTTACCCTGTTTAATACTTTAAGACTTCCAAGACAAGGTGGAAAAACCCAACATTTACCAGTGACCATCCATACTTTGCTGAGATGCTTCCAGGGAGCGAAGCATCCTGAGCTGTGAAATACCTCCTATGTTTCCAAAGCTGCCCTAGCAGCTAAAACTTCTGCTCACTTGAAATGTCCACCCCTTGCTCCTAGTCTTGAAAAACTGGTTCTCAGATATTGTAAAGCAGCTATATCCCATGTCTCTCCATCGTCTTCTCTTTTCCAGTACAGGGAAAGGGAACACTTTCAAGAATTTTATTTTCATATTAACAGTTACCATTAAATAATTAATCATAAAGAGTGCAGGGGGAGGGAAGACATGCTATCTCAGTTAAGATCTCTATGTCCAGATGATTGACAAGAAAGTGAGTGTTTTCCACTTTATTGAATGGAGAGATGACTTTACATTTGAGAAGATGCACTGGGAACGCAGAAAGTTGTTTAGGGGCTGATATCTTTGCACTGGTGCACCGCAAAGAGAGACCAAATGGGAAAACCTGATCAAAAGATTAGTCCTGACATTGGACACAAGATATATTGCTTTTGCAGCTTTTTGCCCCCTAAATTGCTGTCGAGGGATTACCTGGCTGCATATTTATCATTGTTCTGTCTAAAGGAGCGTTGCAATCATGCCTTGTGAATTCTACACTCCCCCCCCCCATCTTTCTCCAACACAAAAAGACAGCAATAGGTGAAAGATGACAGTGAAATAGTGCAGTCACATACCTAGAAGTCTGGAAATTAGCAATGACCAGCAGAGAAGCAGTTTCATTGTACCTACCCAAACACCTTTGCAGAGGGGCTTCTGCTGAAATCGTAAGGGAGGAAGGATGTTCTAGTTGCACCAATGACCGCACCCATAAGAAGGTCTCCTGGCTTGTAATAATTTAGTGGGTCGGCTTCATTCCTCTTCAGGTTCAGAGGGCATTTCAAAC